GTTGCCAGGGGATGGGGGGAGGGAGGAAGGGAAGGAGCCCGCCCGGCCGCCCCCCCACAGGGCAAACATTCCACTTGCACAGAAGGGAGGGTGGCCCAGCCCCCTGGGGCATCCCCCCACCCCCACCGTGGCGGGGCATCAAGGGAGGGGGGAGAGCAGAGGCTGGGAGAGGCAGGTGGCAAGCACCGCCCGGAGGTCCAGGTGAGCCAGCCAGGCCTAGGTGAGGGTGATGTAAGCAGAGGCCTTCTCTTTCAGGTGCCGAAGACAGAGGTGACAACTCCAGCTCCCTGCAGGGCAGCCAGAGGGTGGAGTCAGGCGCAGGCCCCGCTGCCGCAAACCCTTCCCGCCCCAGAACACGCCTTTGCCAACGGGAGACAGCGCCCCCCCCACTGTGCCCACCTCTTCGCTCACCTTCCGGGGGCTCCGCCATGGGGGGACTCAGGCAGTACATGTGGTAACCCCGATCGCAGTCATCACAAAACAGCAGCTGGTCCTGGGAGGTGAGACCCGCCCAGCTGGCACCCTGGGGGCACGGGCACCAGAAACCGGGGTGGGGGGCTGGGGTTGGGGCAGGGGCCAGGTCACAGGAGCTGGGGGAGGTGGTCCCTTCCAGAAAGCGGGCGCCAAGGAGGTCTCTGCGGGATGGGATCCTTGCAAGGCGCACTTGGCCAAGCCAAAGCAACCCTGAGGACAGCTTGCAACCTGTAGTCTGGGTTTCCTAAGACTCCGTGGAAGGCTTTAAATGAAGGATCCTATGATAGTCTGGTACCAGCTCAGAAGCAATGGCCTGGTTCAAATCCCAGCTCGACCGTTTCCCTGGCTGGGGGACTCTGAGCAGATCCCTCTCTGTCTCTCTCTCTCTCTGAGCTCAGTGGTTCCTTCTCTGTAAAGTGGGAACAAGAGCACCTACCTGGGAGGGTGGCTGGGAGGAGTCAGAGAGATGAAGAGAAAAAGTGCCGGGCTCAATTAATGCCACTAACAATGATAACAATACATGTTACTAGTGGCCTCCAGGGAGGGGCTTCAGGGACAGGCTTTGGGCTCAGCTGGCCAGGAGGCGCCAGGTGGGGAGGACATGTCCAGGGGCGGGCGGGCACTCACGTCGTTCTCTGAGGTGCCACAAAGGCTGCAGGACTTGCATTCGATGCACTGCCAGCGGTAGGTCCGCACAGCCGCGGTCATGTTCACCGTGAACTGTAAACACGAGGGGTGTCCTGGGGGCCAGGGGGCAGGGATGCGGTTAGGGGGTCATCTTGCCCCTGGTGGGTACTGACCCCTGGGGGAGAACTGGCTCCGCCCCCGCCCCGACTTGCGAGGCGCGGAGATGAGCTTCCGTGGCCCACCGCCTGACCTCACACCTGCCCACCGAGCGTCCAGCAGGCAGCGGTCCCGTGGCCACCACAGCCTCCTACCCAGCTACCATGGCAACCACACTCTGCTCCCCAGGATACCATGACAACCGCATTCCATTACCCACAGTGCTGTGGCAACCACTTTCTACCACCCACAACACCGTGGCAACCACATTCTGTTAACCACCGTGCTGAGACAGCCGCATTCCATCACCCACAGCAGAGTGGCCAGCCGGGCCTGTTAACCACAGCAACGCGGTGACCACACTCTCCCAGCCACGGTGTCATGGCAACCCTCTTCCACAACGGCCTCCCACACCTTGGTTTCATGCAGCTAAAGCCCAGAAACCCAAACTGTTACAATACTGTGCCGTGTCAGTCTATGAGTCATTCTACCACCCCAGTGCGGCAACCACCATAGCCACGACCTGCCGCCACGACCCACGATGCCCGACACCTGCTGCCACTACCCCGTCCAGCACGGCTGCCTTCCGTGATCCCGAGTTGCCATGACAACCACAATTCATTACCCACCGTGCTGAGGAATTCAGTGTATTACCCACAAGTCCATCATGGGAAACCGGGTTCTATGACAATAGTTCTGTGGCCAATGCCACATCCTGGCATCCATGGCACCCAGGCAATAGCACACCACTAGTCATGTGGCACGGCGCACTACCACCGTGCCTGGCAACCTGCTCTCGCTACTCTCGACACCATGGGGCCTTCACAGCCACATCCCGTCTTCCTCGAAGCCTCACTTGAGCCCACCATCCTCAGCTGCCCCGCCGGCTCTGGTCATCCGCGGCTCCCGAGATGCTCTGGGGCCCCACGGTCCTCACTCCCCTGCCTCCTTCCTGTCCCCTCCACCCAGTCCCCGGAACCTCAGGTAGGGGGTGTCACCTGATCGCCCACAGTCCGCACAGGAGATGAGGTCTTCGGGACACCCCGTCTTCTTAGAGCCCCCCAGGCAGAAGTCACAGTAGCCGTTGGGGATGACAGTGCCGTCAGGTGCCTTCTTGGCTGCAAGACAGCAGGCAGGCATCAGCCTGGGGCAAGCGGGGGCACCCAGCAGAGGTTGCTGTGGAAGTGAGCGGGGAGGCGTCCCTACCTGTGTGTTTCCTTTGTGCCTCAGGGACCCAGGCCAATTCTTTGTAAAACTCTGGGGGTGAGGAGGACAGAGAGAGGGGCTCTCACCACAGGCAAGGCTCCAACCTGCCCCCAGCCTCAGCCCCAGGGGTGGATCGCTTGGTCCGGGCACAGGGGAGGTGGACACACAGACAGTTCTCATCAGGACTTCCAACTCTTTGGGACAACTGGCATGTCCTGTTCATTGGGTCAAAACTTGGCCAACGCGGCTTTAGGAAGGGCCCTGCCTCCCCTACCTGAGCCTCCCCTACCTAAGCCCTGACTAGATAAAAATTCTGCAGATTTCATTGGCCAAGACCTGGAATGAAACAGACACTCAGAAGGAAAATTCTGAGCAGAGGTGCCAGGGTGTGTAGGGGACGTGGGATGAGGCGACTCGGCCTCCCTCCAAGGGGTGGGGGGAAAGACAGTTCCTCCACCGGCTGAGCCTCCCCCAAGCCCTCTGCCCCTCCCCCATCCCTCAGCTGCCAGGGTTGGCATGGGAGATTGGCATGGGCAGGCACCAAGGGCTCCCAGGCCACAAACCCTGCCCCTTGGCCAAAGCTTAGCAGAGAAGGGAGAAAGGGAGCCAGGGTGGGAGGGGAGTCATCTATCACCCCCCCTCCCCAAGCTCTAATTGAAACAATAAATCAGACCCAGAAATATTACGCCCGGGCTGGGAGCGAAGGAGAGAGATGGTTGGTTGCCATGGCAACCCCAGAGCCAGCATCCCCATGGTCGGTGGGGGGAGGGAACCGCTGAGCTGGAGATTTTCCAGAACCGTCTAATGTGCCCCCACCCACCCCCTGCCGGGCTT